TAATAAACTTTTTCTCTTGGCACATCTGCAGCACCGTGTTTCGTTGCATCGGCGCACGACCTCCTAAAAATAACACAAAACCCATTGCCTTTTTGCTTACATAATCAGCTGCAGCAGTAAGAATATTTTATTACGCCGGACCGACAGACAGGTTCGGCTGGGCTGGCCTGGCATGGCATGGCCTAGCCTGGCCTGGCTGCGTGGGGCCAACTCCCCCTTCTCTCGTCCACCCTGACCTGCCCACGAGGGCCTTCTGTTATTATTATTATTATTATTATCTTTTTTTTTGGCACCTAACAATGAGTGAATTAATTAATTTATAAATAACCATTGACCTTTATAATTGGGAGAATAACTAAAAAAAGTATACTAAAAAAAAACGAAAAAATTCCTAAAGTATATAAACTGATGGTTATTCCCTGTTTGAAGATAAATATAAATTTTTGATCTTGTTTTTTGTTTTTGTTGGTATTAGAGAAGTACAACGATTTATCATGAATATGAGTTTTGAAGTTGGTTTATTAATATTTAAATTATATGTATTGTATGAAATAATATCATATGAATTCATCAATAGAAAATCATTAAAGAAATCACGGGAAATTGATGAAGAATCCAAAATAATAATGTACAAAGAAGGTCTAGAACTACCACAAGAAGAAGAAGAAGAAGAAGAGAGAATAGATTTAAGAGAATGTATATTTTTATTGATTTGTCTTGGGTTAATTATATTTGATTGGGCTGTTTATTGTTATAATAATAATAATAATAATAATCAATCATCTATAAGTGTTGACATAATTGATAATTTGCTGGGTAACGTTGTAATAATTGAAGATTCACTATAATGATTATTAATAATATCCCCTGGTTTGATTTTATTTTTAATGTTTTTTTTTTAGGTAGGAATAGAAAAAGGAGTTCTGATTTGCTATTATTATAATGTATATGATTATATAATATTCTCTATAAATAAATACTCTTATGATAATGATGAGTAATATCAATAGTAGTAGATGTATATTATTCGGATTAATAACTGGCAAATTTATATGAAAATTTGGTTAGTTTTTTATTTATTGAATGTTGAGAATATTTATGACCATGTTTACTTTTTGGAACTGGGATTTCAACTGGTTCATCTGAATCTTCTTCTTCTGCTACTACTACTTCTGTTTGTTCCTCTTGGTCATCTGTTGATATTGCTTCATTGGTTATTCGTTTAATCTCATCATCTATTTCCATATCTTCATCATCACTATTCTCTATATCCAGAGTTTCCTCTTCTTCCATTTCCACACCCAGTTCTTCTTCTTGTTGTTGTTTCCTAACTTGATCTATCCACACATTTGCTAATTCTTCATCTTCTTCATTAAACCCTTGTTCGTTTCTTAATTCATCAGACATCAACATCATTATTAATCCTCGTTCATACATTCGTGAATTTTCTAAATCTTGTCTTTCTAATTCTTGAGTTTCTTTATAATTTAAATATCTTTCTAATGGAGAATCACCTCCTTCACTTAAAAACAGATATTCTTTTTCAATTTTTTCATCTTCTTTTAATTGTTGCAAGTTCATTAATGATTTAATTGTATTTTGTTTAGGTTTTTCATCATCTTCCTCTTGTAGTTCATCTATAAATGGAGATATTGTGATTAATTTATCAGGTAGTTTTAATGAATTTTTAATATGGAAATAAATATCAGGATGATTATAATTTAAACATTCAATACCAGTTCTAATGTCTTTAGCTTTTATTGAGTTCTTCTTCTTTTTAACATCATCATCATCTGAATAGTTTGTATATAATAATACATTATTTATGATTTTTTTAATTATTAATTTTGATAATTTTTCAAATAATACAAGTGAATCAATTGACATATTATTAATATTTTTAATAGATTTAAATATTGTATTAATATCAATTATAGATCTTTCACTATCTAATTCAAGATTTAATTTCTTTAAAGGATCATTTCTTTCCGATAATTTATAATTCTCTCTAATTGAAATCAATTCACTTTGTAATGATTCAAATTTTAACATAAATGGTGAAATTTCAAAAGATATTGGTAATTCCAGATATTTAATTAATTTTAATTTTAATTTTTTATTTTTTTTAAATTTTTTCAATTTATTTGATAAAATTTTAAAATATTGTATAATTTCAATCATTGATTTATTAGGTAAATTAATTAACCAAATATCTTTATTTGATAAAATTCTTGAAATTGTTGAATATTTATTCAATAAATTGAAAAAAATTTCCTTTTCTATTGATGACCATTTAGTTCCTTCTTCTCCTAGTGTTATATTGTCAATATTATAAGGATATGTTTTACCTGAATTAGTTATAAAATTACTAGTTAAATCACTTGATTGAAATTGAGGTTTAAAAGTTTGATCAACAAATTGATTATAAAAATTTAGATACTTCTTATTACCTTGGAATGATCTCGTTGGTTTTGTAATTGGTTTTATTCTTTTCTTAGTTGGTTGTTCTGTCATGTTATTAGAAGTGTATTTGCTACCATTAGAAATCCTTGATCAATGATGCCCTTGGTGATGCCCTTGGTGATGACGATGTTGATGTTGATGAGAGTTTTTATTTTTTTTATTTTTTTTTGCAGTGAAATTTTTCCTCCTCGGTGATAATTTGGCATATACGGCCGTGGTACTGGAAGATCTTAATTGATAATTAATTATTTCATTATTTATATTAAAACAACATTTAATCATTAATTTATATATATATATATACTACCTATACTAGTTTATTGTCATATTTCAACATTCTTCAATTTCATACTAATCTCTTCTTCTTCTCCTTCTCTTTGGTGTTGTTGTTCTTTTTCCTCTTCCTCTTCTTCATCAGTATCAACCCATTCACTATCTTCTTCTTCTGTTTGTCTAGTATTAACATCATCATCATCACCAAATATCTCTGACATGAATCGTTTAGGAACATCCTCATCATCTTGATCTCCATTTAATCCTACTCCTAATTCAATATCTCGTATAATTTCAACATATTCTTCAGGTACTAAACCATTTTCACCATTTTCTGGATCTTCAGCAACTAACCAACCTTGACCATGTCTATAACTAATCCAAATGATTTGTCCTTCAATTAATGAAATTTCATTATCATTTTCAGCATTAAAATCAAATATTGCTCTTGCTTTACAATTTATTTCATCTGGTGTTATTATATTATTCATTAGTTCATTTGACTGATCATAATATTCTCCATTGTTATATAGTTCATTATTATTGTTATTATTATTATTATTATATGTGTTATTATGATAAGAATTGTGATCTTGTAGTTGGTTTTCTAGTTTTTCTTCTTCCTATTCTTCTTCAGATGATGATGATGATAAACAAAGTGATGAATTTGATGAATTTGATCGTAGTGGATAATTGCCTAGATGAAATGGATGTGATTCAGGATACCCATAATCTTTTATCTTAGTATTGGGAGGAAATAAGTTTGTCATCATCTATAATAGTTAATTATCGGTTAGTTCTCTTTCTTGATGATGATGATGATGATAATAATGATGATGGTTGTGGTGTTAATTTTTTTTTTTTTTTCTTTCTTGTTGTTGTTCATAATTTTTTTTTTTCTTTCTTTGTTTGTTTGTTTGATTGATTTGTTTCAGAATTGTCTCTTTTTTTGATTTTAAAACATTGAATCTGAAATCCTTCTTTATCCTTCTTACCAATTGATTGTCATCATATTCGATTGAAATCACTACATTTAGATCACCCCCTTTCATCTTGTCTATCTATCTATCTATCTATATATATATGGTTGGTATAAACATCATAACCTTTGAAATTGTTTAATTGTAACACTCTGGTTATCACACTACTGTCACGTGATGTCTTATTAAATTTTTTATTTTTTTTTTTTTTTTCTCATCAAAGAAAAATGGAACGAAAAATTTTTTAACTAGAATCAACTAACTAACTAACTAACTAACTAACTAACCAACCAAGAAGAAAAGGGAGAGTGAAGGAAAGATTAATAAACGATTATGGATCCAGTTGAAGAGCAATTACAAGAAATTGAAGTGTTACAATCTATATATCCAGATGAATTGGAATTAATAAATAATACTCATTTCAGTATTCGAATAAATTTAGATGTTTCATCAACAAGAAAACATTCATTAAAATTAATTGTTAAATATCCTGAAACATATCCTGAAGTTATACCTAATTTACAAATTGAAATAGCTAACCCAAATGATGATAATGATGAAGAAGAAGGTGAATATGAATATAGTGATGATGAAGATTATGCAAATGATGAAGATGATGATGATGAAGATGAAGAATCTAAAGAAATTAAATTAGCTTTAAATATGGCCGAAACTATAGAATTTGACAGAAATGATTTCAATGAATTATTGAATAAATTAAATGAAGAAAGTGAATTAAATTTAGGTATACCTATGATATTTAGTTTAATTACATTACTTAAAGAAGAAGCAGAATCATTATTTGAAAATAAATTAAATTTGAAAAATCAAGAATTTGAATTAAAAAGAAGAGAAAAAGAATTAAAAGAACAACAAAAATTCCAAGGTACTAAAGTAACTATTGAACTGTGGACTAAATGGAGAAATGATTTTAGAAAAGAAATGAAATTTGAAGAAATTGATAAACAAAGATTTATTAAAATGCATAATGGGAAATTAACTGGTAAACAAATATTTGAACAAGGTTTAGCTACCACTGAAGGTGATGAAGAAATAGGACAAGATGAACAAGATGGGTTGATTGAAGGTATTAAAAAGATATAACCAGGAGAGAGAGAGAGAGAGAGAGAGAGAGAGAGAGAGAGAGAGGGAGCGGGAGCGGGGTGTATAAATAAATATATACAATATATACCCGCTAATATTTGAATAGTAATTTGATTCAGCCGATACTCCTATTTTCTATCTATCCATAGATGTGAAAGTAACAACCACGGCTATATAAATTAATAATACACACACATAAATATATACGTGATTGTACTATAGAATACCATACATGTTTCATTGTTCTGTATTTACAAAGTCTGGGGTAAAAAGAACAACAACAAAAGGTTAATTTCTTAAATCGGCACCGAATACTCACTCGTGCCTTCGAGTGTGTAATGGGATGGTGGGTTGTTGTTGTTGTTGTTGTTAATAGCGCAGCTACCATCGGATTAATTTTAACCTTGCATGGAGAAGATGTGAGTTTATATGCGCGATATTTTTTTTTTTCTATTTTTTGTCATTGGTGTTAGCCGGAGATAATCCACGAAATAAACTCCATCCGAGATTTACGGGTAACGCACCCATAAAATAATTGAGTGAATTTAATTGATGAATTTAATTAATAATCAGCCGATGGCACAAAAGATCCAAGGGGTCTAACTCCTTATAGGACTTTGACAAGCAAGCAAGCAAGCATATTGATCATCATCATCATTATCTCTTGCTGTTGTTGTGGTGGTCGTCGTGGTCGTGGTCGTGGTGGTTATTCCATGGCTTAGATGTTATGAAACTTACATCGCCCCGGGGGAAATAGTCTTGGGGTAAGTATTACAAATTTAATCACACATCGTTAAACCACTCATATGTGAGAGAGTGTGTGTGTGTGTGTTGAAATAGAGTTGTATATCTTAACCTTCTTACTCATCAGATTAGTCACTACAAGTTTCTGGTTGTTATGAGCAAATGATGACAACAACTTTAATTTTTCATGTTAAACTCTTTCCTAACAAAAGACTAAGCAAGCAAGTAAGTAAGCAAGTATAAGTCATCAAATAAAACTGTTAGTAAATCTGCAATAGGGGGTTGTGGTTGATTTATAATAGTTTCCGCCCGTTTGAGAGATCTGGGCCTGATTTATTATTATTTTCTCTTTATTTTTTTTACATTGTTCAAGCCATGTTTTCCATATATCCTTTATAATAATAAGTATAAGAATGAGAATAAGAATAATATAGAACATATGATATCAACGTATGATATCATACGGGTAACTTTTCTTTAACAATAACAAAAGATGACCTGGATGAGTTTTTCATTTCTTTTGTTTTGTATTATTTGATATAAGCCCTTGAACAACAATAAAGAATCCTAATGACTATTCTATTCTTCAACACATTCTTCTTCTCCTTTTTTTTATGAATGTGGCTTAGAAACATATCCATAAACGCAAATAGCAAACGTACAAACGTACAAACTTTTTCTTTTTTTTTTTTTAGTAGCAGTAGTAATATTTTGACATTGGGTGCAATATCGGTTAACTAAAATTTCGGTCCCGGATTTATAATTCAAAAATAATAGG